CTCCCCGGAGGCCCCTTGTGCCTCCCAGCCACCCGCCTGTACTGGGCACACCAACCAGGCTGAGCGGGCCTAGAACCCCCACGATGCTCTCAGGGCTGCCGGCCCCACTCTTGGCAAGGCAAGGCTCCCGCACCCCGCTCCATTACAACAGAGGTACCAGGGCCAAGACCCCGCTCACAGCTTCCCACCTGCCACGCTGGGGCTTCTTGGCTTTCCAGGCCGAACGGGCTGCTGCAGCTGCCCCTCCCCACCCGCATCACTACGCACGGTACCCTTGCGCCACTGTCCACGGCACGTTTGGACAGCTGGGTCACGGGGTCGTCTAGGAGTGGAGGTTCCACTCGGCCCCAATCCCACGCGCTCCCACACACCTGGGCTCCCTCTGCCTCCGCACGGGCGCAGGTCCCCGACCACGGCCCCTCAGTGGCACACAGCCCACTACCCTGGCCCCGAATGCCGCCCACAGCCTCGCAGCATGCCTCGGCACCACCCCCTACCTGTCCATGCCGTACACGTAGACGACCGCGAACATCTCACAGAAGGCGATGACGAGCAGCGGGATGGAGCCCGCGTAGCTGTCCAGCAGCGAGAGCCAGTACTGGCCGGAGTTCAGCGTGAAGATGAAGGCCAGCAGGTACATGCCCAGGCAGATGAGGCCTGCAGAGCACGGTGAGCCACATCCAGCCCCGGCCGCCCCGCGCCACCCACCCGCTGTCCGAACTGCCCCCGTCCGGCGCACCTGTGAGCAGCTCCTTGGGCCACTTTTTGGGGATGACCTTGAGGTCCTGCAGGGGCACGACCACGCCCTCCATGTTCCCGAACATAGACGACAGGCCCAGGCAGAAGAGCATGATGAAGAACAGCACAGACCACAGCGGTGACGCCGGCATCTTGGTGATGGCCTCAGTGAAGACGATGAAGGCCAGGCCCGTGCCCTCCACGCCCTGCGTGACACGTGCTCACTGGCCTGGCCCCCAGGGCTGAGGACGGCCAGCCCGTGCCCTCCGTACCCTGTGTGACATACACTCACTGGCCTGGCCCTCGGGCTGCACCCACCAAGCCTGCCCAGGCGGGGGTACCTGAGTCTGCTCACAAAACAACCAGAGCTTGTCTTTCCAACCCGAACTGTGACAACTGGCCAGTGGCCCCACGGCCAGAGCCTGGGCTGCTGCCACAGATGTCCGCATGGCCGGCGGCCAGGAGAGGCTGTCCCAGACCAGGCT